AGAATGATTCGTATTCCCTGCTTCCTGTTCTAAGGGATTTCTGACTTCCGCCAGATGTTGCCAAAAGTCCCATGTCCGTCAGGTGGCTGCAGTTCAGTAGAGATTTCATCTTTTGACCAAACAAAGCAAGCAATTTCCAGTTCTTCCCGGTTTTCGAACTCTGTTTCTAGGTCATCCACTGGAGCGGGCTGATTTAGGAGCTCTTCAGTGTTTGTTCAGCCCGTCTCCTCCGAAGGCTGTTTGAATCTGGAAGATGCTCGTTGGACTTGCGGTGAGTCAGACAAGTTAAAGGCCAGTGTTTGCCGCCATTGGTGATGCTGTATATCTGTGTGTACAGCGTCTTGCAGTCCTTCTTCAAAGCCGATTGTCCCCCTGCTCTGCATTTCGAGATCCATCCAATGTCGCTTATCTCAGTGCTAACCAGATGTCGATTCTCCCGTATTTTTGACTCTTCAGGGTACTGTAAGAAGTCTTGCTTGGCCAAGTCGTTTGTTCCTTGGCGACGAGTGACGGTTTTTGCCGAGTCCCACGGTACTTTGTATTTATGTTTTGACCGAGTATTTGTTTTGGCGTCATACCTACATGTGTATATGGCCACAGGCATGCACGATACACTGTTTGAGCTATTTGGGCGGCAATTCTCAGTTCTGGCAGGTGATCAGTGAATCTGCTGTTGATCTCGTTTTGGAGCGCCGTTTAATTTTCTGGATCATTCAAAGAAAATGTGCTTTCACAACCACCATTCGATCTTAACTTTTTATTCATATTAGTAATATTCACAACTTGTAATTATTGTCTACCTGATAATTTTTCTGATTATGTCATATCTAATGGCATTGCATTTCCTTTTTGTCTATATCGTGGATCGAGTAAAAGTTGTTATAAGTTAATCGTTGCAGACATCCTTTTTATTGTATATGCCTTGAATTGCGTTAAGTTTATTTTGATTTTAGCCTACTGTGATGAGGATTATAAGCGATTTCTGATGGAAGATTCGGATGCACGACACTGGCGTAATTTACTGAACGGTGTACATATTGCCGATGCGTTGTCATCGGATTTGGTGAAAGGTTGCTACGCTTGCAATGAAACGAACAACATGACTGATATTTCGGAAGATGTGTCCGTTCCGCAGCAGTTTCGCGGTAGCGACGATACACGGGCGATAGGTGACTTGACTCCCATGGAGGCTCCTTTCCAAATTCCTCATTTCGAGTCCTCAGAAATACTTTATGAAGTGAAGCGCAAAGAGCCGAAAATAATCGGGAACTGCGTGATCGGTGACTGTTTAGGCGAAGGCTCGTACGGTAAAGTGAAGGAGGCGTTGGACTGTGAGACGTTGTGCCGTCGGGCTGTAAAGATCTTTAAGCTGCGGCGTTTGCGCAAGATTCCAAACGGTGACCAGGACGTGCTGAACGAAATACGCCTGCTGAGCCGGTTGCATCACCAGAACATCATCAGTGTATTTGACCTGGTTTGTAAGCCGGATAAACAGAAAATGTATCTGTTCATGGAGTACTGTGTCGGTAGCTTGCAGGAGATGCTGGACAGCGTACCGGACAAGAAATTTCCAATTTGGCAGGCTCATATGTACTTCGTGCAGCTCCTCGATGGATTGGAATACCTGCACAGCCAAGGCATTATACATTACGACATCAAGCCGGGCAATTTGTTACTGACTGTTGATGAAACACTGAAGATCATTGACCTCGGCGTCGCGGTCGAACTCGACCGATACCGCGCTGACGACAGGACCTCCTGTGGTCGAGGAACGCCAAAGTTTCAGCCTCCCGAAGTAGCCAGTGGCCAGACGAATTTTCGTGGCACGCTGGTCGACGTTTGGTCATCCGGTATAACGCTGTACAATTTTGTAAGTGGCTCGTATCCTTTTGAGGGCGAAAACGTGTACAAGTTGTACGAAAATATCATCAAGTTGGATGTGGTCATCCCGCCGGATGTTGACAAATTATTGCGCAGTTTGTTGATGGACATGCTACAGAAGAATCCGGCGAAACGCTGTGAATTACAACAAATTCGGTCTCACCAGTGGGTGTTGAAGAAGCACCCTCGAACGCTCGATCGAGTACCTTTGCCTGCGTATAACAACGACCCGCTTAGACACAGTACGGTCTACTCGTATTTGGAAGCGATGTATAGCGTTCCTCAGAATTCGTATTTGCTAAGCGACGACGTTCGTGATTCAACTCAGGTACTAGTGGAATGTGGCAAGGAAAGTTTCCCCGCTCTGAACAATGGTAACGTCGACGTGGACAATGGCACTGAAACCAGTGTTGGACTGCGAATGAACTTTAGCGAACCTTCAGCGAGCGGTTGGTGTCGCCTCTCTTCCAAACAGGGCACCAGCTTCGAAAATTTGAGTGCTACACTACCTGTCAGGAAGGTGTCGAGCGACCTGCATCAGTTGAGGGTGAATACTAAGGTAAAGGATAAAACAGGCATGTGCAGAGTTCAGTGAAATGTGCGTATTATTTGTGCGAATATAACATCGAAGTTTAACTTTGTGGTTGCTGATGTTGAGGTTTTTTATTGCTGCCTGTGATGTGATCTTTTCTATGTAAATTTATTTCGATGCATGGAGTTGATTGTGCTTAACAGAGTTTTGTTCGCCTAAAATGTGAGGAATCCGATAACAAATCAGAAATAAAAGTGGCCTAAATGTGCCTCTGTCAACTCCGAAGATTCGGTTTGATTTCGATTGAAAGGATGGAAGGAGTTTGTCCATTACGTTACTTTGTACTACACATTACCCATCGCACAAAAGGATAATTTTATGAGTCGCTCATGTTGATAAGATCTTCGCTTAGCTAATATTGAATATGGTGATTATGGTATTAGCACATCTCAGTGACTCTGGGAAATGCATTGAAATTTTATCTAACCATATAGCGGTACCTAATTGAGTGTACTGATTTTTTGCCTCTGCGAGCATCAAAATTGGTATGTGGCTAAACGGGAATTTTCGTGCTATATTTGTTTATTGCGCGAACTTCGCAACAAATTACCTGTTGCCATGCATTGATCATTTGGCTCTTTGTCAACGAGTGGATGTTCCAAGTGTGCCTTTGTCGCTAGCGTATGGCGTGTTGGTACAGTTGTCGAAGAGGGAGGTCTGCTTTGAACTCCGGAGCTGCCAGGTTCGATTTCTCTTGATGTCATTCTGTTATATTCATGAATTCTCTTGAGCAGGGCATTTGCCAAACATTGTTTCAGACCGGGGTTCCTTAGTCGGTAGAGCTTAGAACTCAGAACCGATATTCCCAAGTTGAAGCCCTGGTCAGAGTTACTCGCCCTTCTTCCTTCTGAGGTTGATGAATGATTGACGCTTCGTGGGAAGGAAACAGAGTATACACGCTACCCTTGTCACA